CCGACTCATACCCATCCTCCCCTACACACTTTCGTACCCGTTTCCCCACCCTCTGTCACCAAACTCATCCTATCCCTGAAACCCACCACCTGCTCCCTTGACCCCATCCCCACTCCACTCCTTATCTCCCAGCTCCACCTCCTTGCCCCACATATCACAGACATTGTCAACCTGTCCCTCTCCTCTGGCTCTGTTCCCATTCCCTTAAAAACTGCCACCATCACTCCCACCTTGAAAAAACCCTCCCTTGATGCGTCGCAGCTATCAAGCTACCGGCCCATCTCCAACCTCCCCTTCCTGTCCAAGGTCCTGGAACGAGTTGTCGCCTCCCAGCTGCGCTCTTTCCTCTCCACCCATTCATTACTCGAACCCCTTCAGTCGGGTTTCCGTGCTGCCCATAGCACAGAAACTGCCCTGGTCAAGGTCACCAATGACATCCTGACCATCTGTGACCAGGGCTCCCTCTGCCTCCTCGTCCTCCTCGACCTATCGGCAGCATTCGATACGGTCGACCACGCTATCCTCCTCCACCGCTTGTCCTCCCACCTCAACCTTCAAGGCCCTGTCCTTGAGTGGTTTAGGTCGTACCTCTCCCACCGTCTTCACTTTGTTTCCACGAATGGCTTTTCCTCCACCCCCCGCACTGTCTCGTGCGGTGTCCCTCAGGGCTCTGTCCTCGGTCCCCTCCTCTTCACCCTCTATATGCTCCCCCTGTGGTGACATCATCCGCAGACATGGGGTTAACTTCCACATGTATGCGGATGACACCCAACTCTACCTTTCCTCCTCTACCCTCAACTCCACGACCCCCGATGTCCTGACAGCTGTCTGTCCAACATCGAGTCCTGGACGAGAGACTATGGGAACTCTCTCCTCGTCGGCCTTCCCGCCACCTCCCTCCACACTGCAGGTCATTCAGAACTCTGCAGCTCGTGTACTGTCCCCCTCCGGCAACACACACTCCCACCCTCGCCCTCACTCCCACCCTCGCCCTCACCCTCGCTCGCCTCCACTGGCTCCCCATCCCCCATAGGATCGAATTCAAGATCCTCATCCTCACCTACAAGGCCATTCACGGCCTCGCTCCCTCCTACCTCTCCGACCTACTATCCCTCTACTTACCTGCCCGTACCCTCCATTCCTCTGACTTCGGTCTGCTCCACATCCCCTGCCCCAACCGCCCTACCATCGGTGGCCTTCAGCCTCTCAGCCCCGAGGCTCTGGAACTCTATCCCCAGTGCCTTCGCCGCTTCCTCCCTTTCCTCCTTCAAGGACGGTCTCAAAACCTTTCTCTTTGACCATACCTTCAGCTCCCCTCTCGACTCTCTACCCCTTCCTCGCTCCCTCACTTCCCTCCCCTGACCCTGACCATTTCCCCCCTCCTCACTCCCTCCCTTCCCTCCCCTCACCCTGACCATTTCCCCACTGCTCGGGTCCTGACCCAACTGTGCAGCGCCTTGGGACGTCCTCCCGACGTGAAAGGTGCTCTATAAATGGAATCTTGTTGTTGTTGTTGTTGTTGTTGCCAGTGTAAGATCTCTGGGTGAAAATAATTATTATAATAATAATAATCTGGTCACTCAATCCACAACTGTTTGTGGGGAGACACTGCTGTACGCAATTGGCTTCCACATTTCTCCTACAAAATATATAGTCACCGCACTTTATAGTGTATCCCATGAAGCGCTTTGAGATGTCTCGAAGACGTGATGAGGCACTGGATCAAATGCAAGGATTATTGTTCTTATCTATCCTGGTTTTGTGGTCAGCCTGGCTCAGTAGTAGCACTCTCTCTACTGAATCAGAACATTGTGAGTTCAAGCCCCACAACATTCTGACTCAACAACAACAACAAATGACATTTCCACAGGGCCTTTCACGTCGGGAGGATGTCCCAAGGTACTGGACAGTCAGGGATTTGTACCCGAGTTGGGCAGCGGGAGCTGGGATCAGGGAGGGGTGGAGGGCAGGGAGGGTAAGTAGGGTAGGAGGGAGACGGAAGGCGCGATCGAAGAGGAGAGTTTTGAGACAATCCTTGAAGGAGGCAAGGAAGAGGGAGGGAGCCAAGTGGAGGGACTGTTAGAGGAACGTACCAAAGTGCTTCACAGGATTTACAGCGAAGTGGTTGTGACTGTATTTATAGATGAACGTGATAGCATGTCCCACAAACAGCCATGAACCAAATGACCTTTTTGAACTAGGAGGAGTAACTGGAGTAGTTATGGCTTATGATTAGGACGTGAGAGAGAGAGAGAGATTGGGAGAGGTAGAGGGAGTGGAAAAGAGAAATTGGGAGGGAGCAAGTGTGAGAGAACACGAGAGAGAAAGAGAGACACAGAGAGAGAGCGTGTGAGGGAGAGGGAGTAAAAGAGTGTGAGAGTGCTTGTTAAAGCAAACACTATTTATTCTCTCAGCAGTTCAGCTCCTTATCATTCAGAACAATCTTGTACATTGGAAAGGAAGTCAGATAAATAATGGTCATTTTTTTCTGACTAATTGTAGCCAGTAATAGGATGATTTCAGCCTCAAAAACAGGTTTGCATTCCAAGAAAGTTGATAAGGGGCTACAAATTATCCCATAATTACTCACTTTCCTGGAACTACGCAACATATTTAATGCTCACAGAGTCGAAAATCTATTGCTAATCCATCTACACACTTGTGAATTAGAAGCTGTTTATACCAGTCATACAAGGTGACAGATCAGTAAATATTGAACACACCATCTTCTGATAATAAAATAATCCTTGCAATTGATACAGCGCCTTATCACGTCTTCAAGACGTCTCAAAGCACTTCATGAGATACACTGTAAAGTGAATTGACTGTATATTTTGTGGGCGAAACATGGCATCCGATTGCGCACAGCAGCGTCCCCACAAACAGCCGTGGGTTGAGTGAGCAATTTATTATTATTTATCTACTTTTTTAAAAGCAATTATTACCCCTGGAAAGGTGATCCAACAATTGTTAACTGGGTTCCTACTTACTGCTAGGTAAACAGAGGCGTGTGTGCGAAGTAAGGAAACTTGGCTAACATTTTGCCCTGACCCGCCCGGGTCCTCTCGCTTGCGAGGCGAGTGCTCTAACCCCTGAGCTAGAGAACTCCACTTTTTTGGTGCTCCGCAAAGTTAAGATCACAGCTTCTCTCCTGATAGGTGATAGATAATAAATAAGTGATAATCCTTATTATAATTACAGAGAATTACAGAGAAACTATTTCCTCTGGAGAGTGGGGGGAACCGGAACAGGGGGGGCATCATCTTAACTTAGAGCCATGCCATTTAGAAATGAAATCAGGGGCTTTTTCACCCAAAGGGGAGTGGGAATCTGATTCTCTCTCCTCAAAAGGCTGTGGATTATGGCTGGATCCATTCACATCGTCCAGACGGAGGTGGGTGGATGTTTTTTAGGTCAGGGGATCAACAACAACAATAACAAAATAACATTCATATAGTGCCTTTCATGTTGGGAGGACGTCTCAAGGCGCTGAACAGACAGAGTTACGGACCCGAGCTGAGGGTCGGGGTGGGGGAGGGGGGAGGGCAGGGGGGGAAGCAGAGAGATTGAAAGCACGGTCGAAGAGGAGGGTCCTGAGATGGGTTTGGAAGGTGGCGAGGGAGGGGGGCGAGACGGAGGGACCGCGGGATGGAGTTCCAGAGATCAAGGGATTATGGGGCAAAGGCAGGTAATTGGAGTTGAGGTACAGGTCAGCCATGATCGTATGGAATGGCGGAACAGGCTTGAGGGGCTGAATGGCCTATTCCTGCCAGCGCCTTACGATGTCCTCCCGACGTGAAAGGCGCTGTATAAATGCAATGTGTTGGTGGTGGTGGTGCCCATGAACCCACAGCGTCCTCTTCTGCCGATGATAGGAAATGCTGCCAATTAACAATTTGGCTTCTCAAAGGGAAGGGTTGAGTCATCACAGAATCTTATGCTCTAGTGTTGAGCGCCATCTTGTGCCCTTTCCCTGCAAAATATGGCCAGAATGGCTGAGGCAATAGCACACGAGGTTCACTGGGTTCCAAAGGGCAATTTATAATAATAATAAAATAATAATAATAATTCTGGCACTTGATACCGCGCCTCATCAGGTCTTCGAGCCGTCTCAAAGCGCTTCACAGGATACACTGTAAAGTGAATTGACTGTATATTTTGTGGGTGAAACGTGGCAGCAAATTGCGCACAGCAGCGTCCCCACAAACAGCCGCGGATTGAGTGACCAAATTATTATTTATTTATCATTTTTTTTGAAGGGATTATTACCCTTGGAAACACAATCCGCCGACTGAATAACAACCGGATTCCTACTTCCTGCTGGGCTGACTGAGGCGTGTGGAAACTTGCCCAAGGCCCTGACCTGACCCGCCCAGGAATCGAACCCAGGCCCTATGGTTTGCGAGTCGAGGGCTCTAACCCCTGAGCTACAGGATTCCCATTTTGTCACAGAGTGTGCTTTACGTGTGGAGTTTAACCCACTTAAACTACACCGCTGCTATTGCGAGGATATAACACGGCCACTCAATCCGTGACTGTTTGTGGGACGCTGCCGCGTGGAATTGTCTGCCATGTTTCGCCCACAAGAATATACAGTCAATTCACTTTACAGTATATTCTCCCCCACCCCCCGACCCCCCGACCCCGTCAGGCTCCACCGCAACCCTACGTGGAGGGCCGCTAGAGAAGTTCAAGTTGTTGTTGTTATTCTGTGAAGCGCTGTGAGACACATTAGATGATAATAACAAACATTGAGCATTTGACGTAGCGCCGTATCGCGCCCTCGAGACGTTTCAAAGCGCTTCGAAGACAACTCGAAGGCGCGATAAGGCTCTGTAGCAAATGCAACGATTGTTATTGTTCTTTATATTGTGTTCCGGGGTCACACCACAGATTTGTGGACTTTGATTTCCAGAGTTAAAAGGGAAGGGAACCCCAAGGAGATGACTTCCCCCTCTCCCAACAACAACAACAATAATAATTTTTTCCCCCAAGTGGTGGGACTGGAGCAGAAGGTCCTCGTGTTTGTGGTCCAGACATTGGGGACCTGAGGGGCTTCAGATGACAATTATAAGGGGATTGTAATGAGGGAAAGGACTTTGCGATGACTTTGAGCCAATGTCGGGAGTGAGGACCGGGAGGTTCCGCTGACGCGATGGGAATGGGCGGAACTTAGAGTCAGGATTCGCAGTCGGAGCGATAATGGGCAGAGTTTGCGATCTCAAGTGGTTTCTCCTCAGCGCTGTGTGTCTGAGCGGTCGGTGCTCTCCCGGAGCTCCCGCACCGCCACCGGGAAACATCGGTAAACCAACGTTACAGCGCCAGAGAGAGGGGGAGAGGGGGGGAGAGAGGGGGGGGGGGGGAGGGGGGGGGGGAGAGAGAGAGGGGGGGGAGAGAGAGGGGGGGGAGAGAGGGGGGGGGAGAAAGAGAGAGAGGGGGAGAAAGAGAGGGGGGAGAGAGAGAGGGGGGAGAGGGGGGGGGGAGAGAGAGGGGGAGAGAGAGGACAGGGGGGGGGGAGAGAGAGGAGGGGAGAGGGACAGGGATAGGGAGGGGGGGAGAGGAGAGAGAGTGAGGGGGAGAGGGACAGGGATAGGGAGGGGGGAGAGGGAGAGAGAGTGAGGGGGAGAGGGACAGGGATAGGGAGGGGGAGAGAGAAGGGGGAGTGAGGGGGGAGAGAGGGGAGAGTGTGAGGGGGGAGAGGGAGGGGGAGAGGGAGGGGGAGACAGAGGGGGGAGGTGGAGCGAGAGGGAGGGGGAGAGAGAGGGGGGAGGGAGGAAGAGAGAGAGGGGGAGAGGGATAGGGAGGGGGAGAGAGAGGGGGGAGGGGGAGAGAGTGAGGGGGAGAGGGAGAGAGAGAGAGAGGGAGGGGGGGAGAGGGAGGAACAGAGAGAGAGGAACAGGGAGAGAGGGAGGGGGACAGGGACAGGGGAGCGAGGTTCTGCTTCCCCTTAATTCCGTAACTTCCCCCTTTTCTCAACTCAAGGTTTGATATTGTGCTTTAAACTCTGTCTCTCTCTCTCTGTGTCTCTCTCTCTGTCTCTCTCTCTCTCTCTGTCTCTCTCTCTCAGTCATTTTTTAAGGAAGGGATTGGCTTTTCAGAGTCCGCCCAAAGGGTTCAGTGCAATGGAGGAAGCAGTCGATTTGGGCAGAAACTACAGGGAAAGGAAAAAATACTAATCCTATTAATAATAATCCTTGGGTTTGATAACAGCGCCTGGTCACAGCTTCGAGGTGTCTCAAAGCGCTTTGTGGGATACACTGTCGAGTGAATTGACTGTATGTTTTGTGGGTGAAACGGGGCAGACAATTAATTGCTCACAGCAACGTCCCCACAAACAGTCGGGCATTGAGTGACCATATTTTTCAGGGGGCGAGGGAGGGATTATCACCCCCAGAAAGCAATCCACCAATCGACTAACAACCGGGTTCCTACTTACTGCTGGTGAACCGAGGTGTGGAGTAAGGAAACTTACCTAAGAATTTGCTCCGCCTGGGAATCGAACCCGGGGCCTATTGCTTGTGAGGCGACTGCTCTAACCAAACGCTACAGGGCTCCATGATACCGACAGACAGAGAGAGTCACACACACACGGATTTGTGCACAGGTCATGGATTGAGTGACCAATTTATTATTATTATTATTTGGGAGGAATTATTACTCCCGGAAAATCAATCCCCCAATCGACTAACAAGTGGGTTCCTACTTACTGCTGAATAAACAGAGGTGTGTGTGGAGTAAGGAAACTTGTGTCTTTTCAGCCATCATTGGCGCTGGGATCGGAGGGGCATCAGCAGCCTATTTTATGCGGCAACAGTTTGGAAAAGAGGTTAACATTGATGTGTACGAGAGCGAGAAGGTCGGAGGGCGATTAGCGACAGCAAGTCTTGGAGGCAGAGAATATGAGACGGGAGGTTCTGTAATCCATTCCTTGAATCTACATATGAAAGATTTTGTAAAAGTTCTCGGTGAGTTCAAAGCCAAATAATAATGATAATCCTTGCGTTTGATACCTTATCGTGTCTTTGAGACGTCTCAAAGCACTTCACGGAATATACTGTAAAGTGAAGTGACTGTATATTTTATGGGAGAAACGTGGCAGCCAATTTTGTGGGGGGAGTAAGGAAACTTGCCCAACATTTTGCCCTGACCTGACCCGCCCCGGAATCAAACCCGGGTCCTCTCGCTTGCGAGGCGAGTGCTCTAACCCCTGAGCTACAGGACTCATCCTTATTATCTTCCTCATCTTGTAATTGAATTAATTGAATTATATCTGAGGAAGTTGCACCTCCATTGAAACAAAACCATAAGGGATTTGGATGAAGGCCTTTGTGTCCATTTGATCTCATTCTTTTCTGAATCCTTACTCTCCCATTCCTCCCAAAATGATAAAAATTCAACAAAGTGTGGGTCAGTCTGGCTTGGCTCTGATTCCGAAGGTTATCATGTCAAGTTTTGTGATGGGATTTTGAGCTCAAAGTCCCAGCTCTCTCCCATTCCATTGCACTGCTGGAGGAAGGCTACATTGCTGGAGGCGCGGTTCTTTGGCTACCGTGTTTCGTCTACAAAACACACAGTCACTACACTTTACAATATATTCCGTGAGTCATTGAACTGAGGTCTCGCCTGTTCCTGTGGCTATTCTGGTAAATTCCATGATCCTATTGTAAAATCTCTGCAGGTTTGAAGGAACATTCAGGGCAGGATGAGCTGCTCGCAGTGTATGACGGGAGTCAGTTTGTGTTCGAACAAAGCGACTGGTATATCATTAACTTCCTCAAAATGGTCTGGTATTACGGCTTTAACTTCCTGCGTGTTCAGATGTGGGTGGAAGGCATCCTGGACAGGTTCATGAGGTAAATCCACTGCCCGCTGCCTCCGCTGATCTGGCTCTGGCCTCCTGCTTGCCCCTCGTGCCCTCCATCGGTGGCCACACTTTCAGCCATCGCCCCTCGAAACTCTGCCAAGGATTTGTGAAGTGTTTGAGATCTTCTCAACATTATTATAATAATCATCCTCGCATTCGATTCAGCACCTTATCACATTTTCGAGACATCTCAAAGCGCTTCACAGATTATATTGTAAAGTGTAGACACTGTGTGTTTTGTAGGCGAAAGGCGGCAGACAATTGTGCAGTGTAGAGTCCCCACAAACAGTCGTGGATTGATTGACCTATTATTATTATAGAGACTTGATCAAATGCAAAATTCTCAGGTTATTCCTTGAGGGGATATTCAAGAATATATAGTGAAATACAAATTAGACTCAATATTTCCTTTGGCTTTTATACTTGCCTTGATAAATCACTCCGGAGGATACAGTTCAAGATCCCGGTCCTCACCTTCAAAGCCCTCCATGGCCTTGCTCCTCCCCATCTCTGCGACCTCCTAACCCCCTATCAACCCGTCCACTCCCTCCGTTCAGTCCTGCTTCACATCCCTACCTCATCCGTCCCACCATCGTCGGTCGGGCTTTCAGCCTCTCTGCCCCCACCCACTGGAACTCTATCCCGCAGTCCCTCCACCTCACCCCCTCCCTTGCCTCCTTCAAGGCCCATCTCAAGACCCTCCTCTTCGATCGAGCCTTCGGTTACCCTCCTCTCCCCACCCTCCACCCCTCCTGATCCCAACCCCCAGCTCGGGTGCAGCTCCCCGACTGTTCAGTACCTTGGAACGTCCACCTGATGTGAAAGATACCGTGTAAATGTCAGTTGCTGTTGTTGGACAGAGGATAAAGCATATGTTTCCGTTCAGGATCTATCGATACCAGTCCCATGGCTATTCCTTCACAACCGTGGAGAAGCTTCTGGAAGCTCTCGGAGGTGCCGAGTTTGCTGGGATGACTAACCAGTCCATCGATGAGGCTTTGCAGAAAGCTGGCATCAGCCAGAAGTTCATTAATGAGATGGTCATTCCAGTCATGAGGGTCAACTATGGCCAGACTGTCAACATCAATGCCTTTGTAGGTAAGTGCAAGATATTCAGTATTACCAACAACTTATATTTATGTATAAGACTGAGGTCCATCCAGTTCACATTCCACCCTCTTGGCAGTCGCTTGACACCTCATGTCCTAAACTATACACTGTATCTATCCTGAGATTATTTTCTAGCAGAAATCTATATAATTTGTTCTTGAAACAAATAACATTTTCTGCTTCCACTTGGTCTTCTGGTTCTACTGTTCAGTACAAGATAAAATGTATGTTTTTATAGAGCGAGTTTCTGTTCTCTCCACAGGCGCAGTTTCTCTGACAGGTTCTGACTCTGATCTGTGGGCGGTGGAAGGTGGGAATAAGCGTGTTTGCTCTGGCTTACTCTACTCAGCCAAAGCGCACGTCATCACAGGCAAAGTCACATCAGTGGGCTTCAAGAATAGGCCTCAGCGAAATGGTAAGCCACTTCAAAGGTAAATGGAAGAGACACTTAGTTACAGGACAAGTCAAGTGGTCGAGGCCGAATCCATTGTGGGTTTAAAGAGGGAAGTAGACAAGTATACAAAACGTAGAGTCGAGGGGGTATGTGGATAATACTGTAAAGTGGAGTGACTGTATATTTTATGGGCGAAACTCTGCCATATATTTTGGATAGGGCAGGCAGTGGGATTGAATGAACAGCTTGTACTGAGAGCTTGTGCTGACTAAAGACTCGCCTCGCAAGTAAGAGACCTGGGTTCGATTCCCGGGCAGGGTGAAACATTGGGTAAGTTTCCTTACACCACACAACAACAACAAGATTCCATTTATGAAGCGCCTTTCACGTCAGGAGGACGTCCCAAGGCGCTGCACAGTTGGGTCATGACCCGAGCAGGGGGGAAATGGTCAGGGTGAGGGGAGGGAAGGGAGGGAGCGAGGAGGGGGGAAATGGTCAGGGTGAGGGGAGGGAAGGGAGGGAGCGAGGAGGGGAAGAGAGTCGAGAGGGGAGCTGAAGGCTCGGTCAAAGAGAAAGGTTTTGAGACCGGCCTTGAAGGAGGAAAGGGAGGAAGCGGCGAAGGCACTGGGGGATGGAGTTCCAGAGCCTCGGGGCTGAGAGGCTGAAGGCCCGACCACCGATGGTAGGGCGGTTGGGGCGGGGGACGTGGAGCAGACCGGAGCCAGAGGAACGGAGGGTACGGGCGGGTAGGTAGGGGATAGTAGGTTGGAGAGGTAGGAGGCAGCAAGGCCGTGAATGGCCTTGTAGGTGAGGATGAGGATCTTGAAATCAATCCTCTGGGGGATGGGGAGCCAGTGGAGGCGAGCGAGGGTGAGGGTGAGGGTGAGGGCGAGGGTGGGAGTGATGTGGTCGCGGTGCCTGGTGCGGGACAGTACACGAGCTGCAGAGTTCTGAATGACCTGCAGTGTGGAGGGAGGTGGCGGGAAGGCCGGCGAGGAGAGAGTTCCCATAGTCCAGCCTTGAGGTGACAAAGGCGTGAACCAGGGTTTCAGCCGCGTGAGGGGTGAGGTAGTGCCGTAGTCTGGCGATGTTCCGGAGGTGATGGAAGGCGGTGCCAGTTGTGGTGCGGATGTGAGGGAGAAAGGACAACTCAGGGTCGAACAAAACGCCGAGGTTCCTGACTGGCTTTGAGAGGTGGAGAGTGCAACCTTGTTTACTTGTTTACACCCTTCTGTTTACCAGCAGTAAGTAGGAACCCAGTTGTTAGTCGATTGGCAGGTCACTTTTCCGGGGGTAATAATCCCTTCAAAAAAAATAGTAATAATTTAGTCACTTAATCCACGACTCTTTGTGGGACACTGTTGTGTGCAATTGGCTGCGACGTTTCACCCACAGAATACACAGTCAATTTACTTTACAGTGTATTCTGTGAAGCGCTTTGACACGTCTCAAAGACGTGATAAGGTGCTAAATGAAATGCCAATTCTGTACAGGAGGTTATCGCTCAGGACACACACCGAGAGAAACTCTATTTTCCTTTTCCAAAAATGTTTCCCAACATTTTGAGGGTTATGTTTTTTCCCCAAAACTGAAACTATTATCCTCTGCTTCCAGGCAAAGTTTCCATGTTTTACGAGGTGAATTATGAAACTGAGTTGGGTACAGATTACAGCATGTATGATGTGGTGGTTATTGCTGTCCCACTGCGCTCCGGGAAGCCCAATATCACTTTCCAAGACTTCTCCTTGCCCGGGAAGAATCTCCTTGGCCAATACCAGCAGACTGTGAGCACGCTTATCCATGGTCGCTTAAACACTTCCTATTTTGGTTACCCGGACCCCAGATACTTTCGTTCCACGACCATCCTTACAATGGAGTACGCTGATGGTTTTTTTCTCAGTGTTAGTGCTTCAAATCCAGTCGAATTGCCCACTCAAATGCCCACTCAAGCTCGTGTGTGGAAAGTGTTCTCCCCTGAACCCCTCACCAAAGACCAGCTGGGTCAACTGTTTACGTCCTACACGACTGTGCACGAGACCAAATGGTCAGCCTATCCTCGCTACAGTTCCAGAGTGGCAATCCCACCCATTATTCTGCACAATCACGTCTACTACCTGAATGCCATTGAATGGGCAGCAAGTGCCATGGAAATGAGTGCCATTTCTGCCAAGAACATAGCTCTCCTTTCGTTCCATCGCTGGTACCAGCGTCTCGACAGGATCGACCAGGATGGGTTGCAACAGAAACTTAAATCTGAACTTTGACCCAGAGATGCTTCTGTGGTGGTAAGGACAACTATGAACAAACATGAGGTCCCAAAATATCGTCTAGTCTTAGCCTCTGACATTAAATTCCAATCGTCAATTCCAATTGGGATGTCGTCTCGATGTGATTTGTATTGTATTCCAACAATTTATCTCTGAGGCTTCAGTGTGCAGGTGCGATGCATGGAATTCTCAGCTTGGTTTGGAGACTCTCAAGCACAGTGATGGGTTGCCACGTGTGTCAGACATCCGAAAGTTTTTTCTCAATTAAGATCGTGCAAAGTTGTGGAAAATTCTTGAATCTAGTCTTAATTTAGAGGTTGGGTTTTTGCACATTTCTTGAGAAAGCCAGCTTCCAAATTAAGACCAAATTTGAGGAGTTTTCATTATTCTCCTCAATGTTAAATTTGAAGATAAAATAATCGCCCAGGCTGAGCACTGGTGGAATTTGGGGGTTGAGATTTTTATCTTCATATTAAAGTTCAGTTTCCTGGCAAAAGTAGTTCTGCACTTTTGATGCTCTTTACTGTTTTTCTTGAAATTCCTCACTTTAAAAAAAAGTCATTAATGCGGAAATTGGCTGTAGTGCAGGGCAAGTTTCCTTACTCCGCACACACAACAACAACAACAAGATTCCATTTATAGAGCGCCTTTCACATCAGGAGGACGTCCCAAGGCGCTGCACAGTTGGGTCACGCCCGTTTATCAGCAGTAATTAGGAACCCAGTTGTTAGTCGATTGGCTGATCGCTTTTGCGGGGTAATAATCCCTCAACATTACAACAACAAGATTCCATTTATAGAGCACCTTTCACGTCGGGAGGATGTCCCAAGGCACTGGACAGTTGGATCGGGACCCGAGCATTGGGGGAAATGGTTAGGGGGAGGGAAGGGAGGGAGCGAAGAGGGGGGAAATGGTTAGGGTGAGGGGAGGGAAGGGAGGGAGCGAGGAGGGGGAAATGGTTAGGGTGAGGGAGGGAAGGGAGGGAGCGAAGAGGGGGAAATGGTTAGGGTGAGGGAGGGAAGGGAGGGAGCGAGGAGGGGGAAATGGTCAGGGTGAGGGGAGAGAAGGGAGGGAGCGAGGAGGGGGGAAATGGTCAGGGTGAGGGGAGGAAGGGAGGGAGCGAGGAGGGGGGAAATGGTCAGGGTGAGGGGAGGGAAGGGAGGGAGCGAGGAGGGGGGAAATGGTCAGGGTGAGGGGAGGGAAGGGAGAGAGCGAGGAGGGGGGAGATGGTCAGGGTGAGGGGAGGGAAGGGAGGGAGCGAGGAGGGGGGAAATGGTCAGGGTGAGGGGAGGGAAGGGAGGGAGCGAGGAGGGGGAAATGGTCAGGGTGAGGGGAGGGAAGGGAGAGAGCGAGGAGGGGGAGATGGTCAGGGTGAGGGGAGGGAAGGGAGGGAGCGAGGAGGGGGAAATGGTCAGGGTGAGGGGAGGGAAGGGAGGGAGCGAGGAGGGGGTAGAGAGTCGAGAGCGGAGCTAAAGGCTGAAAGTCAAAGAGAAAGGTCTTGAGACCGGCCTTGAAGGAGGAAAGGGAGGAGGCGGCGAAGGCACTGGGGATGGAGTTCCAGAGCCTCGGGGCTGAGAGGCTGAAGGCCACCGATGGTCGGGCGGTTGGGGCGGGGGACGTGGAGCAGACCGGAGCCGGAGGAACGGAGGGTACGGGGGGTACGTGGGGGGACAGTAGGTCAGAGAAGTAGGAGGGAGCGAGGCTGGGAATGGCCTTATAGGTGAGGATGAGGATCTTGAAAACCTAAATAATAGAAAAAATGGTCCCTGAACCCACTGTTTGTGGGGACGTCGTTGGGCGCAATTGGCTGCTGCGTTTCGTCGACGAAATACAGTCACTACACTTTCACTACACTTTCCAGTATATTCCGTGAAGCGCTTTGAGACGTCTCGAAGAGGTGATAAGACACTGCATGAAATGCCAGGATTTATTTTGATGATGAAGATGATGATGATGATGGTGATGGGTTTCCACGTGGATCACAGAACAAGGACACAGTGAGGCCCCGGTCACGTGACGAGGGTGAGCAGTGGAGGTAGGAGGTAGTGCGCCTGCGCAGAGCGAAGGAGCTGCTGAGTCTGCGCGAAGAGAAGGCGTCACAGTCTGCGCGGAGAGGCGTCACTGAGTCTGCGCAGAGAGGAGGCGTCACTGAGTCTGCGCGGAGAGGAGGCGTCACTGAGTCTGCGCGGAGAGGAGGCGTCACTGAGTCTGCGCGGAGAGGAGGCGTCACTGAGTCTGCGCGGAGAGAAGCGGGAGCCACGATGAGCAAAGCGCATCCGCCAGAGCTTAAAAAGTGAGGCCGAGGCTTCAGGCCTGAGGGGGGTAAAGGCTGCGGGGGTGTGAGTGTATAGAGGGGGGCAGGCCGGGGGGGGTTAGAGGCCTGGGGTGGGGTACAGCGGGAAGGCCAAGTAGAGGCCTGGGGGTTGGGAGAGTAGAGGCCCATTGGGTAGCGATGGGTGTGTTGGGGGCTGGAGGCCTGGGGTGGGGGATAGAGAGGCCTGGACTGGGGTGGGGGTCAGAAAGGACTGGGGGTGGTGGGGGGCAGAGAAGCCTGGGGGGTTGGGGGCAGAGAAGCCTGGGGGGTGGGGGGCAGAGAAGCCTGGGGGGTGGGGGGCAGAGAAGCCTGGGGGGTTGGGGGTAGCCTGAGATACTGAACCCGAGGAAACAGTGGGTATAGTCTCTTTGTCTGTTTTAGCGGATTCCGTGGAAAAATTGCAGAATTTTTCTCTTTTGTACCCGCGCAGCTCATAAGGAGCTTCATTTCTTGAAGGCTTCCTGAGGTTCTGATTGATTTGTCTGTGTTTATTCCCAGGTTCATGGACAAGAAGCTGTCGTGTGAGTGTTAAATTATCTTATTTTTCTAATCTAAAATTGTGAAAAACCTGACATTTCTGTGAATTCTTTACCTATTCTTCATGGTGCATGCAATCTTTTCCTGTCAATTCTTGTGTGAGCTGAGCTCAGTTGGTAGCACTCTCGCCTCTGAGTCAGAAGATTGTGGGTTCACCCCCATATTCAGGACTTGAAACTCGTATCGTCCAGGCTGGCTATCCTCCTTGTGGGGGAGGTCTCCTCGGAGCTGAACTGGCTTCAAAGTGAAATGCTTGCCTGTCAGAATCGAACCCACCTTCTGTGACGGTTTCTCATCTGGTTGCTGAGCCAGGCTGGTTCGCAATATAATAATAATAATCGTTGCATTTGATATAGTGCTTTTCACATCGGGAGGACGTCCCAAAGCGCTTCACAGAACACACTGTAAAGTGAATTGACTGTATATTTGTGGGCAAACGCGGCAGCCAATTGCGCACAGCAATGTCCCACAAACAGTCGTAGATTGAAAATGACCAATTTATTATTGGTCATGACAGCACAGCACAGTACTGATGACAGCACAGCCCGGCCCAGCTCATCGGCTGGACCTGGAAGGGCCGACTAGTCACTTGGGGCCGGGAATCCTCCCCCTCAGCTGTTGTTAATCCTGCAGCCAAAGCCCTAACTAACGGGAGGGGGGTCCTAGCTGGACAAGCAGGAAAGCTTCCAAGTCAGTGCTATCAATGGTAAGCTATGTGGTTTTGGTTGGTTAGACTCCAGCAGTTACCCCAATGTACACTCTGCCCCGCTTTTGAGATGTTGTTCTGACTTGAAAGGCGCTATATCAAATGTAAGTATTATGATTGGGATGTTATCCTCGGTGCTTTGATCAAAGACTATTTGATTGCAATGAATATTTACATAGAGACGAGAGCTTAAAGGCGGAGAATTGAAAAGAGCAGCTTTTTAATGCAGACTTGGTGTTTTCAGTGAAGCTGAATGGTGGCAGACACGTGCAGGGAATTCTGCGAGGATTCGACCCCTTTATGAACCTTGTAGTAGATGAATCTGTGGAGATGACGCAAGGCGGACAGCAGAACGTTATCGGCATGGTGGTAAGAAACTCACACGATATTTTCACCCCACTTATTAAATATAGTGAAGACCTTTGTTCTCAGAAAAATTAAGTACCTCATTTTTAATCCGTTAATTTTTATGACTCAATTTGCATGCAAAAATAACGAAATAATAATCCTTGCATTTGATATAGCGCTTTATCACGTCTTCAAGATGTCCCAAAGTGCTTTACAGAGTAGACCATAAAGTGTAGTGACTATTTTTTTTGTGGGCGAAACATGGCAGCCAATTGCACACAGCAGCGTCCACAAACAATTGTGGATTGAGTGACCAATTTATGATTCTTCCATCCTGCCTGTCCTCTTGAGACTTGATGAGTCATTTCAAGCAGGACATCTAGCCCATCTTGAGCCCATCGAGTTACCCATCTAATCTCCCCCAGAATCTGAATCTCAGTATACCCCTGAATCCTTCTAATTGCAAGGGTGTTTGCAAATTGGATTTTCGTGACTTGCCGTTAACTTACATTAAATATCACACAATATTGATGTGTATTTGTTTTCAATTCATCCATACAAACTCGTAGAGCTGAGCTTAATTATTACAAGATAAAATATCAAAACTCGATGGCCATTTTCTTCACGAAGGTACAAAAACATGCCTTTCTACACTCGCTCCAATGCTTCAAGCATAATAATGCTGTTGCCTCGAATCACCTGTTCAATTGAAGGGAAAAAAACGTTAGATCAGAATACATTGAGGGTATTATTATTAAAGGGTACAGGGAAGGAGCAGAAAATTGGGATTAGGATGGAGGAACCAACACTCAGTGAAAATAAAGGTCCCAATTGACTCTTATTTCCTCATACA